ATCAACTCTTTAGCAGATGCGTCCCTGTTTGTGTTCAGTTCTCCTCCTCTGCTCATCTATGTCTTGATCTATGTTGACGACATCATTGTCACCGGGAACAACTTGTCTGAGATCACACGATTCATTACGTATCTCTCCTCTCGCTTCTCTCTCAAGGACCTTGGTAATCTCTCTTACTTTCTTGGGATGGAAGCTCACCGCACCAGCTCTGGACTCCACCTCACTCAGACAAAATACATCACCGATATACTCACTAAGACGAAGATGACATGTGCCAAACCAGTTGCAACACCTATGTGTGCAACACAACGTTTGACACAGAAAGGAGGTGCTTTGCTAGATGATCCTCTCACCTTCCGGGAAATCGTAGGAAGTCTACAATATCTCTGTCTCACACGTCCTGACATAGGCTTCTCAGTCAACAGACTTTCCCAATTCATGCATTGTCCCACGACATTGCATCTTGAAGCTGCCAAACGCGTGCTCAGATATCTTTCCGGTACTGCCACGAAGGGTCTTTTCTTCACGCGCAAAACACCTCTTACTCTTCACGCCTACTCAGATGCAGATTGGGCTGGAGATCAAGATGACTACACATCTACAGGTGCCTACATTGTCTACATGGGGAAACAACCAATATCTTGGAGCTCAAAGAAGATGCATGGTGTTGCTCGCTCCAGCACAGAAGCTGAGTATCGCAGCTTAACTTCTACAGCAGCAGAGGTTATGTGGATTGTACACTTACTCAACGAACTTCAGGTACCTATCACTGTTACGCCTACTCTGTTCTGTGATAACATTGGTGCTACATATCTGGCTGCTAATCCTGTTTTTCACTCAAGAATGAAACACCTAGCCTTGGACTATCATTTTGTTCGCGAACTTGTGCAGAGGAAATGTCTTCGAGTATCTCATGTCAGCTCCAAAGACCAGCTTGCTGATGCGTTAACAAAGCCACTACCACGGGCTCGGTTTCACGATTTGTTTATCAAGATTGGTATGTCTCCGACTAGTCCATCTTGAGGGGGTGTATTAGTGTATATCCTATAGTTAAGATATTATAGTTAAGATAATTATCAATAACTCATTGTACCTATCTTTAGATTTGGTCTTATCAAGATCTTGTACACCTTGTATATATAGGCACGTTTGCCATCAATGAGAAATACACTTGAAAACCTATCTTATAGTAAGATCACGTTTTTCCTCTTTGTTGAGTCATATGATAAATTGATAACACACCCCATTTGAGGAGAAGATAGCAGTTAAACTTAAATGGCTGTAAGTTATCTTCTTTATTTTTTAGTACGAAAGATTGTTTTCAGAAACTGTTTAATGATCCTTTTTTTTAATCATACCAAATGCAAAATAATCGTGGAAGGATTGTGAATAGACAACTTTTGAAGTGGGTAGATTGTCCGAAGAGGCATAATTCAAAGATTGTGATGTTTCAGATGAAACTGTTCGTGGAAGGACTTCAAATAGGCGTTTATTTTAGGGATGTAAGTAAGTTAGAGTAAAACTAACATCTATCCAGTAGAATAATAAATAAAAAACATGTTGCTCAAAAGAAAAAGACACCTGTTGGGTCTTTTTTTTTTTTTTTTTGAAACTCAAAACCTGTTGAATGTATGTGTCATTTCACGAGTATAAGTTGGCATATGTTTGTCTCATTTATAAATATATAACCATTTTTTCCTTTGGAATAAACTCTCCCGTGAATAAACTTTATATATAATACTTGTCCAGCACAAGGTCTAGAATTGGAAAAATTCAATGGATATCATTCCAGGTATAATTTCCCCTCAGATTTTTTTAATTGTTTTAAAAAGAAGGAAATGAAATTAAACAAAAAATAAAATTCTGTTCATTTTTATTTAACGACAAATGCTTTTCATTTCAGGATTTCATTTTCCATAAAAATTGTCATAATTTTTTTAGCAGGAAATATTAACCGTAACACATATTTTATTTAAACATACAATATGAGCCGTTATATTAGGGAAGCATTTTCTTCTTTTTCTTAAAAAAAATCATTTTTGATACTTTTATTTATTTGTGGTGTTTGTTTTTAAGTTTCAAGAGTAGATTATTTGCCTCCAAGTTACAATTTTTATGTGGAAGAACATCAAGATACTGAATATGAAGCCATTAAATTGAAAGTTTGTTTGGGTTTTTTTTTTCTAAATTTACTTTGAAACAATGTTTCTTTTCCAAAATTAGTTTATTTGAAAAAATGTGTTCATTTGTTAAAAAATAATAATTTTTTTTTTAATTTACTGAAACAATGTGTTTGTTGAAAAATAGTTAATTTGAAATAAAGTGCCTATTATTTTGAAAGAAATTATTTTTTTTTTATTTTTTTTGATACAATGTGTCTATTGAAAATTTAATTAATTTGAAAGAATGTGTCTATTCAAATATATATATTGAAAATATGTATTAGTTTAAAGTTGTGGCTTTTCATTAAAAATTGACTATAATTTGAAAAGTTGTAACTTTTGAAAGAATTATTTGAGTCTCTATATATAGTGTACGTCTACCATTTCTTGAAACTAAAATTTTCACAATCTAAAAAAATGGTGAAGAAGAAAGATTCTGTAAAGTTACCTAGATGGAGAACCATAGTCTGTTTGTTATGTACGATGGAGATGATTGTGTTTGGTACTGGCTCACCGGTCACCGGCATTAACTTGTCATGGTGAGAGTTACGCTCTCTTTGTGTTAATGGTAACGAGACGCTGTCCACCCAAATTTCAGCGCTTATGTTAATAAGTCAACAAGAATCATCATTGGTCAGTTTCTTCGTTTCCATTTATATGAACCGTTTTCTTTTTAACATATTTTTATGCTACAAATGTAATGGTTTTCGAGATTGTGTAAACGTGTCTCGTATTATCTAAGTGAACTATTACAATTGTTTAGATGAACAATTACAACTGATTAAATGAACATTGTAACAAATTAAATGAACATTGCAAGTTTTGATGAAGAACCATTGTAACCTTTAATAATGAACAATTGTAATAAGGGGTGATGAACCATTATATTTTTTGGTGATTGTATCATTCAGTGATGAAATATTTCAACTGTTCATTATCAAAGGTTAACCACTGCAACTATTTACTAACACTTGAAATATCTAGATCAACCATTATAATGCTTAGTCTCCTATATAATGAGTTGTAGGTAATAACAAATCTCAACTATAAAAAAAAAACAGAAAATCAAAATAATCACAGGTATAGACTAAAAATAGAGAGAGATGTATTATTCAAAGATTATAAAGATATTTGGAGATATACATATAAACATGAAAAAATTGTATTAGTGTTCGATAAGTTGTTAAAATTGGTAATAAGTGTGTTTCCATTTTTTAAATTGTATAGATTCTTAAGAAATTATTTTTTGTTCATTTTCATATCTAATTTTATATACCTTTTTAAAGAACCTTCAGATTATCTAAAAAATATTCCGGTGATTTTTTTTTGACATCAACTTAATATAGCCTGATATAGATCATGTAAATCAAACTGGTCGCTCTGTATTCCGATGATTTTATTTATCGTATAATTTACGTATTTGTTTTATTTCAATATTTACAAAATTAAACATATCAATAGTTATGTTTCTGAGGTTTCATACTATTTATCTTTGGTCGGATAAATCTAAACTCTCAGTTAAATTCAATATATTTGATGTCAAACAATTTTTTTTATTGTATTTCATTTATTTGTTATCAAGAGGTAATCACAATAAAATGTAAAATGATGTTTGTATCTCTTCAAAGACTGACTCTTATCTTTAGAGACAAAATATTGATCAAACTTTGATATTTATATTCTCTTACGCAGAATAGGTATAACAAATTTATTCTCTCCTTTTTTTCCTATATTATTATTAATAATAATAATACTCAAATTTTACAGAGTGTATCCCTTCATCTTCAAACGTGCATAAATTTATTGGATGTTATTTTTGTTATTTTCTTATTTTCTGTATTATACCAACTAATTTTTCACAAATTAATTGTAAAAAAATATGAATACAATAGCGTACCAACACACTCTTCGTTGTGAAACATAATTATTAATAATTAATTTTCATAAATATCTTTTATTTATAAAATTGTACTGTTTTAAAAGATTGTCAAAATGTTTAAGAATGTATCTTCTCATAACGATAAATTTTTTTCATCCTTAAAATTATGTAAATTTTAAGAGGTTTTCAAAATGTATAATAATATATTTCCGCATTCGAAAAATACATATGTTTCTAAAATGTTCTTTTTATTTAGTTTCATTTATATAATATATATATATATATATATATGTTACAAATCTTCTAAATTATCCAAATGTATTCGGATAATTCAGTTTGTTGGACAATATTTTTATAATATATATATATATATATATATATAATTTAATATATATTTTTAATAAGATTTAGGGTTTATAATATTATGTATGGTGTGGAGTTTTTTGGTCTAAAGGTTGTTGCATTTATTCGTAATTTGAGAATAACTTACCTAAACTTATAATATATATATATATATATTATATATATCATAGTTGGTATTGATATATTTGTATTCTAATTAAAATCTAAACTTATAAATAAACTTGAATTGTTAGTAGTATCTGTAAATGGATATATATTGTGACACATAGACATCTTTCAAAAATAAAAATAATGCAATTTTATATAGAAAAAAATAAGTTATAAATGTAATATGTTTTTTTTTATAAAATGAGTTCCCGTGCGATATCGCACTGGTGATCCCGACCTAGTATGATAAATAGGAAGAAGATTTTTTTTGGTCCAATGTTAAGAAGGAATAAGTTTGATAAAAGAAAAAGGAATAATATTTCGGTAAAGTTTGTTACCGCCTCATATATTATATATATATATATATAAACAATGGGGTATTAAATGCATGAATTGAAAACCTACAAGAAATCAAAACAAGCTTCCTATTCCTATCAATATTTTAGCAGATGGAGAAAACATTGAGTTGGGAGATAGATGACTTCTCGAAGAGGATCAGTAAAATAAAGTCCGATATCTTCTCAAGTGGTGGCTGCCAATGGTAAATCGAAAAAAAGAAATCAAATCTAGTTCTTTCTTTTTTTTTGATATTTGATTTTTAGAACTAAAAAAGTTTTTTTTTTTTTTTGTTTTTTCTTAGGTTTGTAACGGTGTATCCCATGGGGTACCATTGCTTTGATCACTTGTCTCTGTTCCTTCACGTTGTGAATCCTAAGTCATTGAGACGTGGGTGGAAAAGGAGAGCTATTACTTGCTTCGTTTTGTTGAATCAATCCGGCAAAGTTCTATACACATCACCAAGTAATCAACTTGATAGTTGATATTATATTTTCCACGTACTTGTGTGTATTAAATAACGGAGAAGAAAAGTTGATATATATATTATTGATCTTTTTTTGTTTTTTAACTGACGAAGGCGATTGCAATTTGTACTGCGCTGAGGTCCCAGTCTTGGGTTACCAGAAGACGTTGCCGCTTGCCGAGCTACAAGGGTTCCTGGAAAATAACAAACTAATCGTGGAAGTCTACTTCAAAGTAGTTGAAGTTGTTCATCAAGGAAAATCAACTGAGAATGATATAGTCGATTTCAATGGTTTCCAGATACTTGCTTCTCAAGTAAGTTAACGAAACTCCCATCGATAAACAACCACCACAAAAAGAGAGTGGTGGATTTGAATCCAATTATTATAATAACACCCTCTCTCTCTCTCTCTCTGTTTTCTGTTTGTTCTCTTTGGCAGGCTTCCTCATTGAGCAATATTGTCTCAAAGGACCCATACTTTGTAGTAGATTTCAAACCTGAGAACCAATGGGTCAAAACAAAGTACATGTATCTCCTCGGCCTCGTCGAGACCCTGAGCAAGTCTCCACAGAGCTTGTCTGCGACTGAGCTAAGCAATGCTCAAAAAGATTTGACTGTGCTGACGGAAGCAGGCTTCAAGCTCGACTGGTTATATTCAAAGCTTGATGAGGTTTCCTTGGAGTGGAAGCAAGCAGCACATTCTGATGGATATGGGGTCCAACAACTCGAGGAACGGGTCAAGAATGTCGAATTGTCTTTGTCGGATCTCATAGTTGATCTGGACAATGTGAAGATTAAATCTGCTGCTGCCAAAGTTTCTTCTTTTCAGTTTATAGATTTTCTTGTTAACAAATTCTTTCTCTCTTGCTTCTCATTCTCAAAATCCTAGCTGATGTATATATGTCTTTTGAGCATAGCTTTGAGGAGTTTTCATTTGAACAAAAATATTTGGTTAATGTGTTATGATCCCAACAACATTGAAGATGATTCTCTGTTTCAATTACTATCACGCTAGTTTGAATTCGTATTCCTGTTCTGATCACTTTTCTTACATAGTTTACAAGTTTATAACCAATGCATTCTCTTTTCTTTCTTTTTTTCCATGAAACTCAATGTCTGTTTTGTGGTCATCTCTTGCTATTGTGTAAACAATGATGGAATCTCTAAGTATAATTACTTAGTCCAGTTTTTTTCATACTTCGACTTGGGGTTTTGATTAATGATTTTTTCTTGAAATTTGATGATTATATGAAGAACCTTTTGTCTTATGGTGTTTAACCTCTTGAGCACTGTATAGTATGGACGGTGTTATAATATAAACAGAGCTGTTCATGAATCACATTAATATTATTATTATTATCATATAAGCAGAGATGTTCATGTAATTGTTTAGTACTCCCTCTGTTCCTAAATAATCCATGTTTTAGAATTTTCACACTTATTAAGAAAACATTTAAATTTTTGATAATAAATGCATTATTTTATGTGTTTAGCTATTTCTAATGATTTTTAACCAATCAAAATTCAGCAAACATAATTAATGTTTTTGAAGTTTACAATTTACCATTATTACATACATTGAAAATGTAAAATATGAATCTTTTAGAAACAAAATTTTTTTCTAAAATATGGATCATTTAGGAACGGAGGGAGTATCATATTTGGTAAGCCTGGTTCAACCGTTATTGTGTCCAATACCTCACCAAATCGAAAACAAAGAAAAAAAATATTCAGATTACTTTTTGGATAAGCCAATAACAGACATGGGTATCTCTAATTACCATTATATTCATTATATTTTTAATGGGCTCAGAGCAGAACAATCTGGATCTGCTTTCGCATAGATTTTTAAAGCATCTAAGTATATAGAAGAGTAACTCATATTTAAAATAAATATAATTATTAGAAAATTAGGAAAAATAGTGTAGTAAATTTCTCAAAAGAATACTCATGAAAACCTCATTTGAACTCCTAATGCCACATGTCAATTTATTATCCACTTATTGATGATTTATTTTATTTTAGAAATTTAAATTTAGTTATCTACATTTCAATTCAAAAAAAAAAAAAATTTAGTTATCTCAATAAAATAGTACTATTTTGTTGAAATATTTGTTTTTTTTATGTAAATGTTAAATATTTGTTTTGAGATACTAACCAATAATATTGCTCTAGTTACTTATAAGATACTAACCAATAATATTGCACAGATTTTTAACTAGTATTTATTGTTGTTGTAGTAGTGTACTAGTGTTATAATCCGGAAAATTTTAACTCTTACATGTGCTCTTTTGTCAATACTTCTTCAAAAACCTTTGTACGATTTTGCTTTTATTATACAGTACAATATACACAAAATATAGGGAGGGAAATGGGGACAATTGAGAAAAAAAACCATGAACTTTCGAATTTAAGTTAAAAAAACCATGAATTCATAAATAAGTCATTCTATACATCAACAATTGGTCAAACACGAAAAAATCACCTATTATCGTTGACCAAGCCGTTTTATACATGTTGAAAGTCAAACCGTTAACCCCGTTAATGAATAGTTTACGTTGACTTTTGGCATGTTCAAAATGGCTTGGTCAATGAAAATATGAGATTTTATTGGTTCTAGTTTAAAAGTTAAAGATTAAAATGGCTTATCAAAATTTGTAAAATTTATAAATTTTTAAAAATAATTTGTCAAATAGTTTTTTTTATTTTGATAATATGCAATATACTATATATATATATATATCAATGAATTTGATAAATAAATTCATTTTTATCTTATGTAATCGTCTCATCTTAAATTATTTTATTAATGTTTAAGGTTAAATAAATTAAATAGAAGATCAATCCAAAATAAATGGATATAAAGTTTGATGGATTATCTTAAACAAATTCACTTTTGATTTTATGTAGTAGGGGCATGTTAAATTCTTCTATTAATGTTTACGGTTAAATAATTGATTAGAAAATTATAAGTGATAAATAATTAAGACTTGTGTGTGAATTGACAAGTGAAGAAATGACAACTTGAAAGATGATGATTTTCTTGAAATTGTAAACTTTGATTTCAACGCTAAAAGAATTCATAATGATCTTCTCAGGATGATGAACACAGAGCTATATAAGGCAAAAATAGTGAATTAACCACAACCAGATGAAATCAACTAATTAGATGGATTATCTTAAGAACAATCACAACACAAGCATGTATAGACGTGGAAAAGTAGACAAACAAAACTATTGTTACACAACACAACCCATGCAAATCTCGACTAATATCAGAAAATATGATCTTAGGACCATGGATGGTTTAATTTGAGCTTAGTCGAGATTTGCATGGGATGATACGTAAAACTGTACCTGGGATTCACATTTAAACACCTAAATGATGTTGCGAATACTACCAGCTAAGGGCAGGATTAATGGGGGGGGGGGAAGGGTTTAGAGCACCCCCATCAAGGGATGATGGGGGAGTTCACACGCAAACCAAGAAAAAATAATAATATTAAAATCAGATTTTTATGAATTCCTCTCTCAAAAGTTCACCGCGGTGAACCCCGATGACTCCGGGTTCACCACGTGTCAGCTAGTGACTGGTCCGTTATTAATTTTTTTTTTAAAGTAATCGAAAATTAAAAAAAAATATTTTTTTATTTGTGTGAACCCCCAAGGGGAGTTTATCAATGTGGATGCTCTTATTATTAATTTATAACATTACAAGATGTAATAAAACTGAAGAACTTATACGACAATAATGAGAAAATGCTTTTATTATTAATTTATAACATTACAATAACGAGAATTCCACAAAAGTAAAACAAAAAATTCAATTAACAGAACTTCTAACAAAAGCCACAGTTTAACCAATAGAAGAGTATACTATTGATAACATGTTCTGAACTTAAACAACGTCAATGAGCTTCCGTTCAAAAGCATGATTGATTCAATCTACTCCAAGTCTGAAAGAACATGTAAAAAATTATATTTACCCAAACACAATTTCTAATGACGTTTTCTTTTGATAAAAACATGAGTTTACTTGGTTTATCCGTATTTTTTCTTTGGTTGCATAATACATCTTGTGATAGTTTTTTTCCAAGTAGCATTCCAAACGTTTTCTGGATTTGTGATACTATGTGTTAGTAATAGGATACAAAACAGCTTGCGTAGATCCTTTGCTGATGCCCAATAACATGTTTCTTTAATAACTTCAGTATTTTCTTCATCATAGTACTTGCAGATAACAGAAGAAGTTATTTTTTTCCATATCTCTTTTTTAGATTCTCAAATTAGACATTCATATTTTGTTAGTTTTTTTAAGTACACAGGCACAAAAGTTATTTTTTTCTAAAAAACGTCATTAGATTAAACTTTGAAGAAAATAAGCAACTTAAAATGTAAACCATAAGAAAATGTAAGATATATATAACAGTGTTGATATGGTTGCACGATAAGTTAGTATCAAATAATATATTTGTATTATTTATTACATTCTTTTTATTGCTATATAGATGTTCTGAATTTAATGCGTTAACATAAATCATTATTAATTATTACCAATCAATCTTGTGAATTAAATAAGTAATATAAAATAAGAAGAACAGTTATGAATTAAAAATATCCAATAGAAACCTGCAAAAAATTGTCAAATTTGTTAGCAACCGTACAATATAAAAAAATTTAATAGATTTCTAAATTTTATTGAGACAAAAATAATATTAAATTTGCATAATACTATTGAAACAAACTGATAAATGATTTGTAGTTAACTACAACCGGTCTTTCGTCTGTGTTATTTATCTCTTAATAGAAAAAACAAACAAATGCAAGAATTTATAAATTTAATTTTTTTTATCGAATAAAAATAGACTAATAAGTTAGTATTGACATCCCTTAGGTGTCTCCTTTATATATACTCAACCTTCCTTTTTTCTTATGTTATTAGGGAGATATTTTCATAACAAATGATGTTTAGGAATATAATTTCATAATAAATAATGATACAGTTAAAAGAAAAATATTAAAGATATATTGTCATTAAATGATTTAAAATTAATATGTTATAAACTTGTGCAATTAAATCATATTCAAAATAAGGTAAGTTTTTTAAAACGAATTAACAAATTAGAAAAATTAAGGTAAATTGCATTAAAACAATGTAATAAATATGATTTGAAGTTGCACAAGTAACATGTGTTCAAAATAAGTTTATAAAAGACGATTAACAAATTAGAGACATTAAGGTAAATTGAATTAAAACAATGGAATAAATATAATTTGAAGTTGCACAAGTAATATGTGTTCAAAATAAGGTAGGTCATTAATCAACTAAAAACATTAAGGTAAATTACATTTAAACTATAGATATTTAAATATTAAATGATATATAATAAGGAAATAATAAATATAAAAAGTAGTTGATATAATTTTTTGATTAATAAATATTATTCTATATATTTAATTTTAATTAAAAAGATCATATAATTGCAAACCAAAAAAATATATATCAATTTTAATTAAAAAAGATCATAAAAGCAAAATCACAATGAGCAAACCAAAGAGATATATATGTATATATAAGCTTATAATTCTAAACAATAATATAAATCTACTAATCAAAAAAAAAAGTATTGGCAACACAAAAAGATGCTATTGAAATGATATAGCTAAGAGATGTTATCAAATAGAGAATTGTTTTTTACCAAATTGAGGAACAAAGATGTTATCGAAATGATATATCAAAGAGGTGTACAATCAAATCATATATAGCTTCAGTGGAGAAATCGTCATAATAGGATATCTGCATATAAACCAAAAGAAAAATCAGCTCTCATGAAATATAAAAGCTTAATGTTCTAAAATAAGAAGAGAAAAAAAGTTTAGAACATTATT